CTCCCGGGGTCCGAGCCTAGACGCCGAGCGGCCGCACATTTGTGTTCAATTAAGAAAAACATATGTGCTGAGAGCGCGCGCCCTGCGCTCTCCCAGCACACGTCCGGTACTCACGGAAAGGTCCCGATCGAAAGAGGCGGTCATGTGACCGCCATGACGGCGAATCACGGCTGTCACATGACCCTAAAACCCCGCCTAACAAGATTAAAAGTACAGAGAAGGGCAACCAAACTGATACGAGGCATGGAGGAGCTCAGCTATGAGGAAAGATTAGAGGAACTAAATGTATTCTCTCTTGAGAAGAGGAGATTAAGGGGAATATGATCAACATGTATAAATACATCAGTGGTTCATATAATGAACTTGGTGTAGAGTTATTTACCTTGAAGTCATCACAGAGGACAAGGGGGCACTCTTTACGTCTGGAGGAAAAGAGATTTAATCTCAAAATATGGAAAGGTTTCCTCACAGCAAGAGCTGTGAAAATGTGGAATAGACTCCCTCAAGAGTTGGTTCTGGCCAGCTCAGTGGATTGCTATAACCCCTTGGCGCCTCCTGGCCCTTTAAGGGTTTCAGAAGAGGATGAAGAAGAAGAAGAAGAGGATGAAGAAGAGGATGAAGAAGAAGAAGAGGAAGAATAAGAAGAAGAGGATGAAGAAGAGGAAGAAGAATAAGAAGAAGAGGATGAAGAAGAGGATGAAGAAGAAGAAGAGGAGGAAGAAGAAGAAGAGAGGAGGAGGAAGAAGAAGAAGAGGATGAAGAAGAGGAAGAAGAAGAAGAGGAGGAAGAAAAAGAATAGGAAGAAGAAGAGGATGAAGAAGAGGAAGAAGAAGAGGATGATGAAGAAGAGGATGAAGAAGATGAAGAAGAGGATGAAGAAGAGGATGAAGAAGAGGATGAAGAAGAGGAAGATGAAGAAGAGGAGGATGAAGAAGAAGAGGATGAAGAAGAAGAAGAGAAAAAGAAGAAGAGAAGAAGAAGAAGAGGAAGAAGAAGAAGAAGAAGAGGATGATGAAGAAGAAGAGGGATTCCAGTCCGGCAAAAAATCTCCCTGCAAAGAGCACCGCTATTTCTTTGACAGTTCCTTGACATTTATAGCGGTTGCAACAATGTATCTATTTGTTTTCGAATAAAAACATCTGTATCCTAAATGGATACAAATACATTGTTGCAACCGCTATAAATGTCAAGGAACTGTCAAAGGAATAGTGGAGCTCTCTGCAGGGACACTTTTTGCCGGCTGTAGATGGGATGAAAATCGGCCGATTTTTTTACCGTTGATGGTAACGTCGGCCGCTTGAACGACCGATTTTTTGCTTTTTTAAAGAAAAAATCGGCCGATTTTTGACCCATCTATGGCCTGCATAAGTCTTGGAGAGCAGCACTCAGCCTTGAAAAATTAGCTGTCTTAAAATTGAGTGGCTTTATTTTTCCCATATGTGCTTGTTGTTTACAGCTAACAATAAATTAAATCATGTTATGCTCACTGCTACCCAGATGTTCTTTTATATGGACATTCGTAATAAACTCTGCGTGGTTTGAGATTACCAGGTCCAGAAGAGCATCATTCCTAATTGGGGCCTCTATGAACTTTACCATAAAATTTTCCTGTAGTAGGTTTATAGATTTTTGCCCTTTACCTGCTCCTGCAGCGCTATTACTCCAGTCAATTTCCAGGTAGTTCAAATCCCCCATTATTATCACTGTCCCAGACCTTGCAGTCCTTTCAGTCTATGCAAAGATCTGAGTCTGTACCTCCTCCTTAACACTGGGTAGCCTATAACAAACTCCAATGATTACCTTGGTAGTACACACCCCCATATGTAGTTCCACCCATAATGCTTCAGCCTCATCACACTCTCCATCAATTAGGTCCTCTTTCACACTTGCTCTGAGATCACTTCTCACATAGTGACAGACACTACCACTTTTCCTTTTTACCCTGTCTCTCCAAAAGAGAACATACCCAGGAATATTAATAGCCCAGTCATGTGAAGAATGAAGCCAAGATTCAGCAATACCAGTTAAATTATAGTTCTCTTCATGCACCAAAGCTTTCAACCCACCTATTTTGCTTGGCAGTTTTCTGACATTGGTGAACAAACACTTTAATGCATTGACACCTTGTGCACACGTATTTTGCATATTTTTATATTTTCATACAAATGGTACCAATTCCAATGGTTGTTTGTAACCAGGGAACCTTCTTACAACCTGCCATAGCCCTCCCCCCTTCTTTCCCCATTCCACCCACAATAAGGACTGACCCCTATCTGATCTGTCTGCCCTAATATAATCTAATTCTCCCTCCCCCCTCGACCCTAGTTTAAATACTCCTATAGCCTTCCCATAAACCTCTCCCCCAGCATAGCAGACCCCCTTCCATTTAGGTGCAAACCATCTCTAGCATATAGGTTGCATCCCAATGAAAATTCAGCCCAGTGCTCTAGAAACCCAAATCCATGCATTTAGTTCTCTAATCTCCCCATGTCTCTCCTGAGTCTTTCCTGTGCAGGGCACAGGTAATTTTTCAGAGAATATTACAGAAGGATTTCTTCTAAAAATGTTCCAGTGAGCACTGTTGGGGCCATAATCTGGAAGTGGAAAGAACAATTTCAGCAAGACAATGATCCCAAACACAAAGCCAAGGAAACTTGGTTTTAAAGAAGGAAAATAAAGCTGCTAGAGTGGCCCAGCCAATCACCTCACTTGAATCCAATAGAAAATCTATGGAAAGAACTAAAGATCAGAGTTCATAGAAGAGGCCCAAGGAACTTTCAAGATTTGTGTGGAAGAATGGGCCAAAATCACACCTGAGCAATGCATGTGACTAGTTTCTCCATACAGGAGGCATCTTGAAGCTCTCATTACCAACAAAGGATTTTGTACGAAGTGTTAAATAAATTTCAGTTAGCATTTTCCATACTTTTTTCCTGTGTTATTCCATTTTATTACACGTAACCATAATTTATGAACTTATTTGTTTTGGTTTCTTTGTATGTATCGGTTGCATGGGTTGTTACCGACCTGTGGTGACAATTTCATGTTAATAGCACCTTTAGTAATATATTTACTAAGAAAAATAGTGACGTGTTCAATACTTATTTTACCCGCTGTAAATAACTGCATTTTTGCTTGCGCATGTTTGGATGCTGGAAGTCAGCAGAGCTTTACCACATTCACTAAGCTAAAGGAACATTCCCTTGCAAAATTAGATTTCCCTTGTGCAGTGATCAGTCTATTTGCTTTTAATAAATCAAATCATAGGCTCTTGAACTATCCATTTTGTCCAATGATAGATAATAGAAAGAATATGCAAATCACAATGGTTGAGTGGGTGCTGCAGCAAAAAGAACGTTGGTGCTGTCTACCAACATGCAGAAATATATTTGTGGCTTGATAAGAGGGCTTTATGTAGCCCCAACACATTACACTGTATTTTACTGGGAACATATATGCAAGTCTTGTGGTCACCTAAGAAGGTGTGATGGTAATACATATTTCAAAAATGGCAAATCATGACATTTTGCTCTATGTGGAAACTGCAGCTTTGGTACATGGAATATTTTTTAAATGTATATTGTATATTCCATTGGTAACTGTAAATAATTAACCCCATAGAAAGAAAAGGAAATTCGCTTTTTGCAAAAAAAAAAGTCTAAAATAATGTATTTAAGAAAAAAAGGCAGGTTACCAAATTTTAGATTATGCACCTACCTTAGCTAATCTTTGCATTTTCTCATTTAACTTTCAAATTCAAAAATTTCAGGGGCCACTAGAGGCTTGGGCATTTGATAGTTCAATGCCAGAGTGGTGCTTCTTCTTCTTCCTATCAATATTCACAACCCCACTACCCAACTTTTTATGAAATATGTTGATGAAATGGCCCACTGTGCCAGATAATGAGACTTCACGATGATAAACATATTGTTCATGCAAAGAATCTGAAAATTGCTACACTCTTGTTACAACATGCTATGTAATGTCATGTCTTGGGCCCCTTCCAGACAGGGTGGACCCACCAACGTATCAATTTGTTTACCGGGGGATCTCTCCGCTGATCCCAGCTGAGCAAGCGAATGACAGGTCTGTGTCTGGTCTGCTGTTGCAGAGCAGACACAAACACAGCCTGCTTTTTTCTATGAGGCAGTCAGATGGAAACGGACTATCTGTCCGTTTCCATCCAACTGTCATTCAATCCAATCCACCAGATGGTTGGGGAATGGATCCTCATCTGTTTTTGGCGTACAGGATCGGATGCCGGCAGGTGTCAGCGGAAACTTGTCCACTGACACCTGCCGGTCCATTTGAGTCCACCTGAAAAACTGACAGGTGGACCCGATCGGACCGTCAGTGTGTAAGGAGTCTTAAGTTCCAGTTATGTCAAAACTATCTCTGACTGCTAATTTATCATTATCTGTAGGTGCGGCACAGGGGCAGACTGACAACTGATGGGGCCCCCGGGCAATAGGGGATCATGGGGCCCCTGTGTCCTTGCTCAAACGCAAAAAAGCCTATGAAAAAGGTACCAGGGGCATCTCATGGGCCCCCTACTGACCCCCGGACCCTCAGGCAGTGCCCAAGTTTCCAAATGGTCAGTCCGCCCCTGGTGCGGCATAATCTCAGCTTGAAGATAAATTGAGGTGCATGGTTCTACCCCATCAAACATTAGATGATCTGAAAGGAAGCACAGGATATTGCACATAACACAAGGGGGTTGATTTACTAAAACTGAAGAGTGCAAAATCTGGTGCAGCTCAGTATAGAAACCAATCAGCTTCTAGGTTTTTTTGTCAAAGATGAATTGAACAAGTTGAAGTTAGAAGTTTCTTGGCTACCATGCACAGCTGCACCAGATTTTGCACTCTCTGGTTTTAGTGAATCAACCCCAAGGTCTTTACACTTTACCAGTATTGTTAGTATACACAGCTTGGTGGATATGACAGGTTCACTTTGACTGCTCCAGTAATAGTAAACCTACTTGTTTTAGATTTGAAATATTATACTGCACCAGAAGATATAAGTGTAAAGTGTATTTTTATTACCTGGGACTTCTGTTGGCAACAGCAAGCACCACAAATTCCACCAATTAAACCATTGATGACTTGAATTAGGCATAAAATGATCTGGATTCCAGACAGGCCTAGCAGGATGGAGAATAGAGTGACATTCCACACTACAACATTATTTGGCTCAGTGCATTGGGACCATGTGGAGTGATCGGTCAGATACCTGCAATACAAAAATTTTAGTTAGATAAGAAATGTTCTTGATTATACAAGTATATGTGAACCCAAACAATGAAGTTTCCCTTTTGGTTTGATAAACCCCAACTAATGGAATTATAAAAAGAACCCTTGCAATGGGGCATCTCTGTACTACAAGAGTTAAATGGTTACCAAGTTTAGGGAACAAGGAATAAAGTGCACTTATTTTACACCTCACTCCGGCAAGCTCTGGCACTCTCCTCCACTCCAGCTTGTGGGCAGACCCTTGCTGTCCTTGCATACAATACAGGGATATGCATTGTACCTGATGACAACATTGTGTGACCATGGTTCAGAAAGCCTTATAGAAGGGGCTACAGGGGACTGTTTGCACAGATGGGGGATCCTGCTAGATCAAGGGATAAGTAAAGTATTACACCTTCTTCCTCATCTGTAGAGTTAACAAGTAATTAACCATTGCAGTGGAGCTTTTTGTAATTTCCAGTGTTGGGCTTTAACTATACTATCAGGAGCATTTTGCTCTGATTGATCATGTCAGAAATTAAGAGCTGTCTTGTGATCTCAAGGAGCCTTCATAGTTGTTATTCTGGAATACAGAATGCTTAGCCTTTTTTTAAAGATGTGAGAGTGGGAATAGCTGAGTAGTTTAGCAAAAGACACTGGTCAGGGCTGACAACACGCAGTTCACAAAAGTACTGGGGTAGATTTACTAAAACCGAAGAATGCAACATTTTGTGCAACTCTGCATAGAAACCTATCATCTTCCAGGCTTTTTTTTTTTGTCAAAGCGCAATTGAACAAACTGAAGTTAGAAGCTGATTGCCCACCATGCACATCTGCACCAGATTTTGCACTCTCCAGTGTTAGTAAATCAACCCTACTGTGTTGTCAACCCACAACAGGATTTGGGAGTTGAGTGCATGTTCAGATCAACAGCTATTTTTTTGTACTTACATATGTATAAACAGATATGCACAGCATACTGTATTTTTTTTTTCATTTTGCCTTGACATAACTTACACTTAAGTTGCACATATAGAGGCTGATTATTTGCTAAGAAAGGGTGTTTTCAACATCTTTTGCCAATAACAGGCTTGAGTACAAGCCGCCCCTCAAGGTCAAGGTTAGTAGATATCCACACAGATATAAAATGATTAGATAGCAGTACATGGGCCATATCGGAGTTTATGTTTGCATTTCCCATACAACCACTTCTACTTGTTCCTTACATAATACAAACATTTGGAATTGGTAGGTAACTGAAAATAGGAACCTTTATCTACATCAGGTCACCTGAAGCTAAGAATTTTTGGAGGTTGGATAAAAAAAGAAACAGATAGGGAGTGCCAAGTACTGTTTACTCCACTAAACCAACATTTGTCAAATATCTTCAGGTGTGGGCTTGCTAATCACTGGAGGTTAAATCAATACAATAACTCAGCAGGAGTGATTCCCCCATCTACATCAAGTGTGTGGATGGGAGAATTGGGTAATTTTTTGTTTTGGTCAATCCGCTAGTTGAACAAAAAAAAATGATTAATGTATGCCCCCCCCCCCCCCTTACATTCTTTTTAACACACTGCAAACCTGTTTTGTTTCTACTTTGTTAATAAGTTGATACATGTTTCAGCTATTTAACAATGTATGCATTATGGATAATGATGACTGAGTTAGGGGAAGGGGTTGTCAAAAGTGGAGCAGCCAGAATCAGTCAGCTTCTGTCTTCGGCTTGTCCAGTTAAGATTTAAAAATTAATAGATAGAAGATGATTGGGTACCATGCACAACTGCTATAGATTCTGGTCACTCCAGCTTTGATAAATTTCCAACATTGTATTTTATCCCTAAAAATGGATACATACATTCCATTAGAATTTTCAAAGGGATAGGTCCACCCTGAACTTGTCTGACAATATGGTCCTCTTGCTAAGGCCAGTGCAGAAATGATGAGGCAGTACCCAGCACCAGCAATTCCGATTAATGCAGCTACAATGGATCCCAGCATCTGAAAGATAGAGTAATAATAATTATGGCTTGTGTTCAGTGCTGAGTGACCATCAACAAATCTCTCAGAAGATAACCCTAAAGAGACTTACTGCGCAGGTTTTACCACAGGTCCTATGGCCACAACATCCACAGCAATCTTCTTCTTCCAGACCAATGAACACGAAAGCTGGAAGCAGCATCTAAAAAACAAATTCAATTTATAGCATATGATCAAATATATTACACATTTTATGTAATGATTGGAAGCTAATAAAACGATGTCAGGATATAAAATGTAATACAAAGTAGAACAGTGGAAGGACATTGCATGACCATGGCCTGATTTCTAGGCTTGGCATACATCATGGGGTGAGGATATCTAGCCATTCTAGGGGGGCATGTAGGCAGGTGCCTATTTTTGGGGTGCACATTACCTCATGTTGTTACTTTGCACTGTTTTACTTATAAAGTATGTTCTAGTGAGTTCTAGTCTATTATGCAGCCTGGAAGTTAAGAAGGAGTCAAGGCTGCCAATTCTTGGGTATTGATGGCTCTGCCCCCTTGTGGTGGGATATAAATAGAAGGTGAAGCAACCTAGCTGCGTTCTTGAGCCTTGGAGGGGAAAGTACAAGGAGGACTGCAGCCATACTGTATGTAACTGGACTCTACATTTTGGGAGCTTCCCCATTTTGGATACCCAGTTGGGGTACCAAAGACAGCTCATGGACTTTACTGAAAGGACTTTGCATTATTCATGAGGTATGGACTGGGCAGCCTGAAGATAGGAAGAGCTAGATCTCTGTATGAAAGAACTGTGAAGGACCGTTTTGTACTAATTTTTATCTGCAAGAATTTTTCAGTAAATGTTCAAAACATTCCTAAAGTGCCTGGTCTGAACTTCTTTAAAAAAAGGGTGCATGCATGGTGTATAAAAGAACAGGGCTTCTGAGGGGGATAAAGAGGAAGTGATGAAGAGACATTACAGATGTTTAACCTGTCGTGGAGTTGGAGGAGGAGAGGCCATATTAGTGTTGCCTTTGGATAACCAGAATCAAGTCGAGTGCTAAAGTAGCCAGCCAGCCTGAAATGTGGTGATTTGGCATAAATGATGGAAGGCCCCAGTGGTGAGGGGGTTTGTGTGCGTAGCCACCTCCCTAGTGATTGGTGCCTCACACACCTTTGGATTTATATACCAGCATGGGGTATCCTATGTATCAAGTCTGTAGGTCACAGAAGAGAGAGAGAGAGAGAGAGAGAGAGGGGGGGGTCCTTGTAAGTATAGAAGCGTGTGTACATATAGAGAGTTCGTTGACAAGTTTCAGCAAGAAGTCTCAGATTGTCACCGAGAGAGAGCTGACATAATGGCTATGCCAGTGGAGTGAAATACAGGCTCTATAGTATCCCCTCGGAAGTGCTGCATCAAGTGGGAGAAGTCAGAGTACAGTTAAAAGACGTGTGAAGCAATGGGAAGCGCATTGTACACAAAGATATGAGTAGTCAGTAGTACTTTGCATATGTGTCCATGTCAGCACAACAACCAAGCAATGTTTCTGGGACTTGAAAGCCAAGTTGGCTAATGCTTTTTGGAGGTCATTATTCAGAATCAGGCACATCTATGGTTTATTACATGTTAAACAACTAGCTCAATATACAGCGAGGAAAATAATTATTCAATCCCCTTAAAATTTTGTAAGTTTGCCAACTTATAAAGAAATGAAGGAACTATGATTTTTATCATAGGTGTATTTTAAATGATAGAGACTGAATATCAACCAAAAATCCAGAAAAAACATATACTACAAATGCTATAAATTGAGTTGTAGTTCAGTGAGTAAAATAAATATTTGATCCCCTACCAACCAACAATAATTCTGGCTTCCATAAACTGTACTCATGTGGTATACAGATTAGTCCTGTCAATTTAAGAAGGTGCTCCTAATGTAAAAGACACCTGTCCACAGAATCACTTTCTTGGCCACCACCATGGGCAAGACCAAAGTGCTGTCAAAGGACATCAGGGACAACATTGTAGACCTACAGAAGGCTGGAATGGGCTGCAAGACCATCAGTAAGAAGCTTGGTGAGAAGGAGACAACTGTTGAAGCGATTATTCGCAAATGGAAAAAAATACAAAATAACCATTGACCTCCCTCAGGCTGGAGCTTCATGCAGACTGGTTATGTGCTCATGTGGTACACAGATTAATCCTGTCAATTTAAGAAGGTGCTCCTAACGTAAAAGACACCTGTTCACAGAATCACTTTCTTGGGCACTCCCGTGGATAAGACCAAAGAGTTGACAAAGGACATCAGGGACAACACTGTAGACCTGCACAAGGCTGGAATGCGCTACAAGACCATCAGCAAGAATCTTGGTGAGAAGGAGACAATTGTTGGAGCGATTATTCACAAATGGAAATACAAAATAACCATCGACCTCCTTCGGTCTGGAGCTCCATGCAAGATTTTGCCTCATGAGGTAAGGATGATCATGATGAAAGTGAAGGATCAGCCCAGAACTCCATGGGAGGAGTTTGTGAATGATCTCAAGGCAGTTAGGATCACAGTGACCAAACAACCCACTAGTAACACAATACGCCACCATGGATTGAAATCCTGCAGCTCCTGCAAGGTCCCCCTCCTCAATAAGGCACATGTACAGACCCTTCTGAAGTTTGCCAATGTACATCTAAATGATTCAGAGAAGGATTGGGAGAAAGTGCTGTGGTCAGATGAGACCACTCATCGAGACTCGTCGTGTTTGGAGGAAGAAAAATTCTGACTATGACCCTAAGAACACCATCCCTACAGTCAAGCACAGAGGTGGAAATATTATGCTTCGGTGCTGTTACTCTGCTAAAGGTACAGACCGACTTTGCCTCATTGAGGGGCCAATGGATGTGGCCATGTATTGTAAAATCATGGATGAGAACCTTCTTCCCTCAACCAGAACACTAAAGATGGGCCTTGGGTGGGTCTTCCAGCATCACAATGCCCCAAAACATACCACCAAGGCAACAAAGGAGTGGCTCAAAAAGAAGCACATTAAGGTAATATAGTGGCATAGCCAGTCTCCTGACCTTAATCCTTAAGGATTTAGAAAAGATCTGTAAAGAAGAGTGAACCAAAATCCCTCCTGAGATGTGTGCAAACCTGATAACCAACTACATGAAATGTCTTACCTCTGTGCTTGCCAACAAGGGTATATCCACCAAGTACTAGGTCATATTTTACTCACTGAACTGGAACTCAATTTATAACATTTGTATCATGTATTATTTTCTGGATTTTTTGTAGATTTTCTCTCTCTAACATTTAAAATACACCTATGATAAAAATTATAGACCCTTCATTTCTTTGTAAGCGGTCAAAATTACCAAATCTGCAGGGGATCAAGTAATTATTTTCCCCACTGTACGTCAGCTGTCAAGCAGGCTTATTAATGTATATTGTATAAAAAGCAGAGAACAAGGAACTGTAAAAAAAACTATTTTCTTTTTATTTCGAATCAGGTATTTGCAAAAGCATTAAACAAGAAGATTGCAGGTTAGGTTAAAAAGCAAACCAACCTGCTATGACACTTAGCACATTAAAATTCTAATTCAGATGTCAAGAAACCTATTGCACTTACTGCTGCTTACACTATTACATACATTCTCAAATATTTTTTTTGGGGTTGATTTAGGAATTTATCTGTTCTTCAGTAGTTTTGATAAAAATGTGCAGTTTCCTTGTTTTATTTAATAAAATAAGGCTGCAGCCAACATAGGACAAATGTATACAAACCCATGAGTGAACCTTTGAAATCTATCTATGAATCAGAATAATAAAGGGCAAATCAGAATAATTCTCTTCTCTATATTCTTTGAAATAAACCTGTCATAGATAAAATTAAGGGGCTGCTATTGCTTACTCTTGAAAATGCTAGTTGCTGTTGCCCCCTGTCCCCTTTCCTTTTCGCACTAGCTTTTGAGCCCCTGACGCATCTCACTCACACTAATCTAAATGTCAGAGAGATAGAGGTAGCTGGCAATGCCCATAACGTTTTATTTTTTGTTACATTGCCCTTTTCTCAACCCTGAATTTACTTTCTCTTCTGCACTCTTTTGCCCAGATCTCTGGTCTGAACGTTAACTGGAATAAGTTGAGGGCCTAAATATTACATTACCGGTGGAAGAATGTTGCCTCTTACAACAGTCATTTCCTTTCCAATGGTCGTCCCATTCTTTGAAATACCTAGGTGTGCACCTGACCAACCACCCAGACTCTTTGTATAAAGCAAACTACCCTCCAGTGCTAGCTCATTTAATGCACTTAATGTCTAATGGTCTACCCTCCCAAAATCCTGGCTAAGGACAGTTAAGATAACCCTACTCCCAAAAATCCTATACCTTTTTTAGGATATTTCTTCTGTATTTTAAAGTGCAGAGTTACCCAATTTATTTGGGGAACCACTCAGCTGTGCCTCTCGAGGTCCTTACTTTAATGTTCTAAATAGACCAGGGGCCTGGGCATTCAGCACTTTTTAACTGTCAACTGGCTCCCCTCTTCAAATATCATGGTAATCAGGAGGTAACCCTGTGGGTTGGACTTGAAGCCATGGCTGCTGACCCTTACACTATAGACATCTACTTTGGCTTACCCCACCTGAGCTAGGCCACGCATGCTACCCTCCTTATGTATTTGGGACAGAGTAAAATGTAAGGTGAAACTTATTTCCCCACACTGACTCTTACTATTTTCGTTACACAATCTGGCCTTCTACCCTGCTGCCACTTCCCGATTTCATTTCACCATTGGACATGCCTATCGACTACACTGCCCTGTTTCTTGCAATGGTTTTAAATAATTTTTGACCCTGCAAGAGCAATATAGTCTCCCTGATTTGGAGATCTTTAGGTACCTACAAATTAAATACTTTTATGCGGCTATACTTTCATCTACCACAGACCTCAGCGTGATGTCCATATATGAACATTTTTGTGCATCTGATTGACACACTAAGGGTGTTATTTCTAAATTGTACACAGCATTGCTATCCTCCCCACAGTAACCCACGCCAGCCTATGTTGATAAATTAACTACAGATCTAGCCATAGATCTTTTCCCACATTTGGCAGACAACACATAAGGTTTCTCCAAATGTTGTTGCTTTGTAGACATCTTATAAAGTCTTCTCCAACTGGTATCTAGTGCCTCAT